AATAAGAGACCAAGTGGAGCTACTACCCTACAGGGACCTTGTTAGAAAAGAATGGCTCAATCCAAGAAGGGGAGTAAATTAGATTCTATGACACTTAAAATTTTTTCAGAGTTCTAAGGATCTTTATTTCAACTTAAAATTTTCTAATATGAATTCTCAAAGAAGTTCCTTGAAAGTCTTGCTAATGGAAATGAGTCCTATATGCTTTCTTGATTAATCTTGATTAACTTAAATGTTAAGAACACTTAATATGCAATACTTTGGTTTAGTTTAAAACAATGTTATAAATACAAACATATTAATCAAGATCAGCCAATTTAACAATCAACCAAGATTTTGCTCAATGTAAAAGATAAGAGTGAGAGAGAAGAATGCACAAATATTTTATCCTGGTTCAACCACTCCACATGTGACCCACATCCAGTCCTCAATCATAACCTGATCAAGATTTGTTCCACTATCTTAATGAAGAAGTTTTACAAGCATAACACACATGCATATACTCCGACATTCAAGATAACCACTTTCTTGCTCCCAAGAAAGCACTTCTTATAGAAACCCACCACAAGAATTCCTTACCACTTGAGACACCTACTCAAGATTTCCCTTACACTTTACACAGAGAATTAAAGGAACGAATTCACCTGGAAGCTAAACAAATCAGACTGTGAATTCCAAAAGCAAATCTTAATCTTTCTCTCCCAAGAATATAGTGATGATGATGATCTCTATCTAAGCATTTCAAAATATTTTACTTCTTGGTTTCACAAAGAAAACACTCCAAGAAGGTCACAAAGACTTCACAATATAGTTTTTCTCTTGTTAATTCTCAACTCATTCTCTGTTCTAAAGTTTCAAAGAGTGAAATCTATTTATAAAATTTTCAGAACCAGATAATCGATTATTTTAAAGGATAATCGATTATTTTGTTCTTCATGATTTCTGGAAACCACCCAAGAACAGAATAATCGATTATTTTGCAGGATAATCGATTATTCCAAGAGTGCTTCCTGGAATAATCGATTATTTCACAGATAATCAATTATTATAGCAAGACTCTTTTCACCTGTTGTTGGAATAATCGATTACATTTAATGATAATCGATTATTTTGAGTTAGTTTTCAAAAACTCAATTTTATACTTCAAAAAATCTTTCCAAGTATTTTAAATCATCATCATACTCACTCTCAGTCAATTTAGATTAAAATTAACTCATACACAAAGCATACACATGCAAAATAAGCTAATCAAATCAATACAACTCATAAGAACTTATAAACTATTCCTATTACACATCATGATAGTCATATCTTCTTCTTGACTTGTTTGTGTCTTTGGTCAGCTTCAACTCCTTTGTTATCATCAAAACTCTCAGACTCCAAATCTGAGTTGATTCACTACTCCATGAATCTCAACAGACCTAAATGATTTGGTCCAACTTTGTGTAAGGGTAGAACAACAAAAATTGAGAAAATCCTCTATTAAAAAAGAAAGCTCCCACTCTTCATCTCTAAAGAAAGATTATAAGAGGGAGGGAAAATCATTTGAAAAGAAAAAATTTTTGGAACCCTCTAATGGAAGAGCATGGACCAAGGGTCCAACCACTAGAGCAATGGCTAGAAGACTACTTGAAGATTTGACTATTTCAGAGCTTAGTGGGCCTAATGGGCTTGGTGGGCCTAACTGATCTCAGGAGATCTCGGTCCAGACGAGATCCGTTACCTAATTAGATCATAACTGATCTCGGGCCCAAGGCCCAAGGCAACCCTAATTCACACTAAGGTACGTGCATTACTTATACGAGACATACACTCATACAAACCCTAACTTTAGCATCGGAGTCTCTTTTGCAGGTACCACCCCCATCTTGGAACACCAACGTACCAGCGAAGGAGGCTCACCAATCTTACTCGGCAGATCATCTCTACAACAGATCTCCGGTAAGAATATTTGGCGCCCACCGTGGGGCCGATCGAGACAGCTCTTATCGGCCATGCTTATGGTATTCACCAGAAGCCATAGTAGACGCGCAACAGACGATGCAGATCACTCAACCACCATGGATAACGAAGCCACATTGAGGAGACTAATCGACCAGGTCGAACAGATGCGGCTATAACACGACGCCGATCTACGCAACATGCGTGCCAAGCACGAAACTGACCTAGCAGCGATGCGGACCGCTAATGAAGCTGACCTAGCGACATTGCGCGCCGAGAACGAGCGCATTCGCGCTCAACTCCCTCGGCGTCCCTCTGATCAACCCCCTCAGTCGAGCCATCTGCACGAGGAGGAAGGCAATTCGATTTCTCAGCCACCAGCCGCGACTAGGGTACCAACCCCCAGACCTGCCTCACATCGGTCTCATGTAACGACGCACAGGTCGGCACAGGATGTCAGCAACGTCCCTGCCCACGGCACGGGACATCAGGCGACCTTCCGTCGTCATCCTTTCATGGATGGAATCATGGAGACACCCCTCCCTTTCGGGTGGAAGCCTCTCCACATCGACCGTTACGACGGCACGACAGACCCGGATGAGCACATCGACATGTACACCACATAGGTAAACCTCTATACTAATGAGGACGCTATACTGTGCAGGTTTTTTCCAACCTCACTAAAGGGGGTCGCGCTCAACTGGTACACCCAGCATCCTGCTGAGTCAATTGACAGCTTCAACACTCTAGTCAGGCGATTCACGGTGCAGTATGCAACGATCCGGCCTCACCACATCACTTCAGCTGCCCTGGCCAGTCTCAAACAGAATGATGACGAGCCACTCCGGGCGTTCATGGAGCGATTTGCCGCCACCTTGGTCAAGATCAGAAATCTGAAACCCGAGGTCGCCCTGCATGCCATGCTCATGGCCCTCAAGCTCGGACCCTTCATCGACAGCTTGTGTCGTGAGGCTCCTCGCGACATGGACGAGCTCCGCGCTCGTGCTGCGGGCTACATCTAGATGGAAGAACACTCCGCATTCCATGACCAAGTTCGTGGAAAAGGACCAATGAAGCCGGAACAGGGTCACAAGGACAAGGTCAAAGTCAACAATGACAACCAATTCAAGAAATCGGCTAGGGTAAACAGAGGGGGGAGATATGACTTCTACACTCCCCTGAACACACCCCGAGTACATATCCTGGAGGAGGCCAGTAACAACAACCTGCTCACCCTGCCATCGCCAGGTCATACCCCCAACAGTGCCGACATATCCAAACATTGTCGGTACCAAAAGAATCACAGTCACACCACTGAGGAGTGCCGCACGCTCCAAGACCGTATTGAAGAACTCATCCAGGCAGGCCACCTCGGCCAATATGTCCAGCGACAGCAGGGTCGCCGAGGAGGCTATAGCGGACGAGGACGAGGTAGAGGTCGTGGTTTAGGAGCTCGCACGGACCAACCCTCTAGCTCTCAGCAAAATGCCGGCAGAGCAGTGCAAGCCGAGGTAAGCCAGGAAACAGGATCAGCTCCTCTACGGTGAGTAATCAATACGATTGCAGGTGGTTTCGCAGGGGGAGGTGCCACCAGCTCGGCCTAGAAGAGACACCTGCGCAATATGAACAGTGTCCACTCCGCTACCTCGGCTTCGCACCAAAGTTCACCACCGATCACCTTCACCGACGACGACTATGCCGGCGTCAGTCCCAACCAAGATGATCCCATGGTCATAGCCGTGGAGGTAGCCAATTGGGAGGTTCACAAGACACTGATAGACCAGGGAAGCTCGGCAGATGTCTTGTATTGGCCGACCTTCCTCAGGTTAGACATCCCCCACTCTCTCATCCAACCTCACACAGAGCCCCTAGTCGGTTTTGCAGGAGAGCGAGTGCACACTCGGGGATGCGTGGACCTGCTGACCACCTTCGGAACTTCCCCTGACACAAAGAGAATTATGGTCCGGTACCTCCTTGTGGAAGCCAACACCTCCTATAACATCATCATTGGGAGGCCGACGTTGAATCAGCTCGGAGCAGCGGTGTCCACTCCCCCTCTCACCATGAAGTTCCCAAGAAATAACGTTAAAATCATCTCCGTCAAAGCAAATCAGAAGACAGCTCGGTAGTGCTACACCGAGAGTCTAAAGATCTTGATGGAAGTACTTGGAGGATTGATATTCTTCCAAGCTTTCCATGCAAGGACCGAAATGCTCCATGAGGTTGAACTCCTTGAAGGTGGCGGAATCACCTTGGAGGATTCTCCAATGGTGGAGAAGCACCTAAGAGAGGTTCGGTTACCTCTTGAAGAAGTGAAGAAGCTTGAGAAACCAAGCTTCTAGGAGAAGGAACCTTGAGAGAAAACCTAAGAGAAAGTTTCTCACGAATTTTACTCTTGAAAATGGGAGAGAAATCTGATTTCTAATTTTCATAAATGTCCAAAAGTGATTACAAGAGAGGGTTTTAC